GGGGGACAGCGCGGTGTCCGGGGTGGTGCTGGGTTGTGTGCAGAGACCATAGCTGGGGTCTGATGCGTGAGGAAGGGGAAGAGGAGGCTGGGCTTGCCTGAGACGGGGGAGCGGCTGCCACGGGACACATGGGGTGCAGCCCGTGCTGAGGCACCCCACGCGGGCCCTGCCTCTCCTCATTTGCTGCAGCAATGCGCCAGGCAGCGACCACTGCAAGCTGTGCTCCAGGCACGCAGCGGCCTCCTCCCTCCCCCGGGACGGCTGGATGCTAGCTTCTGGGTTCCTGGCCTCGGGTGTGGTGAAGTCCTGGGGATGTGGGTTACACAGCGATAGAGCACAGAGTCCAATTGTCACCCCAGCTCAGAACTGGGGAGCACGCGGTCAGCTTGCTGACCTTCGTGGCCAGGCATCGACCAGGCTCCCCTCCCCAGGCCTGCTCATCCGGAGACTTCCTCAGAGCTGGTGCATGGGGTGCTGGGGTCCCCAGGGCACAGCTCGTCTGGGGTCTGGATGTGGATCCCAGAGTCCTGGCCCCTTATTCCTGGCTAATTCCTGAATCTGTCCATGCTGCTTTAAAAAAGCATCCAAGACTGGGTAATAGATAAGCAAATTCTGGAGAATTCCAGTGAGTTCTTGGCGGTCCAGGCCCTGGCTCTGTCTACATGGCTGTAGATGGAAGGGCGAGGGGCCGAGTGCTGTCCTGCAAGGGCCTCTGCCCCACCACCAGGGGAGACCGCGGGGCGCAGTCACCCCCACAAGGCAGGTCTACCCCGGCCCCCTGGAGAGGTCCCAGGGCGATTTCTAGGAGCCACTTCCCATGACCTCCGACATCTCCTCCCTCACTCATGCTGATGAAGGTCGAGCTTCCCTCCGGCCCCAGAGCAGTGAGCTCTGCCGTCAGGGTGGCCGTTTTGTACACTGAAGACAATTGGAGCCGGGCCAGACACGCAGTTAACGTAAAACCTCCGAATCCGCGGTATTGAGTGCATTCATAATGCGCCATTCCAGCTCTGGCTGCACTCAAGGATGACCATCATTCCCCCTCAAAAAAAATACCCTGCCCTGTACCTCTGTTGCCAATGCTGCCCCCCCCCCCGCCCTGGTTCTGGCAACCATGTCCCCCTAGCTCTGTGGACTTAACTGTTCTGGGGTTTTCCATGCGAAGGGACTACTCGATGTGCGACTGTGTCTGGCTCCTGCCAGTTGCTTAGCAGTTGAAAGGTCTTCTGCGTGGTAGTAGGTATCAATGCTTGATTCCTTTTTAGGTTCAAATAATATTCCATTAGACGAGTATTTCCGTTTCCTTCCCTTCCTCTCTTCCTTCCCCAATAGCAATCTTATATAGCCCCAGCTGTCCTCAAATTCATAATCCTCGTCTTAAGTTCCCCAATGCTGGGATTACAGGTGTGTGCTACCAGGCTCAGCTCCCTTGTTCCCCCCGCGGTCCCTCCCCCATTTCTGAAAATGTCCTTGACATGTAAGGTTCCTTCTTGATGTTTATCCATCTTTTTCTTTCTTGGCCTCAGTTCTAGGACTGCCTTCGTCCTAAACATTTACCCCTGTTCTTCTGACTTGCTTTGTCACTTCAGATCATTGTTGTATGTGGTATTAGGTAAGAGTGTGGGTCTGTCACTTTGCATGGGGGCAGCTGATTGTGCTGGTACCATCTGAAGACTCTTCTCCACCCACTGACTGGTAGGGTCACCCTTGTCAAAAATCACCGCACGGCTGGGCGCTGGTGTCTCACAAAGATGTGGCTCAGGAGGATGAGCTCTGAGGACTGCAGTTCAAAGCCTGCCCTGGCAGGAAGGCTGCTGAGACTTCTTTCCGATAAACTACCAAAACAGCTGCAAGTGGAGCTGTGTGGTGTAGAAACCCTTGTCTTAAGCAATAAAGCTCAGGGTCAGAGCCTAGGTTCTGGGTTCAAGCACCAGAACCAGCACCAAAAAATAAAAAGGAATTCATGGTGGTCTCTGGTTTGTTTCTGCTCTCTACTGCCGTTTTACCTGGCCTGTGCAGTGGGTTTGACTATTGTAGCTTTGTAGTCAGTGTTGTGACCCACAAGTCTGAATCCCCCAACTCCTTTTCCCACCGGTCCTGGCTGTTTGGCACCCTTGGAATTTCATATGAACTTGAGGACGCTTTGCTTTTTCTGCCCGTGATGCCACGTGGGTTTTGTGAGGAGAGCGTTGATGATGATTGTGTTCTGGAACTCACTTTTTTGTTGCTTTTTTAGTTTCTTTGCTGTGTCATTTTTGTTCCCAAAGTTTTGTTAAACAACGAAACACAAAATGCAAGTTTCTGTGAGCTCGCTCCACTCTGCCCTGGCGGGAGCTGTGTCTGGTGGCCCCTGGGCGGGGGGCGGGGGGGGAGTGGCACCCGTATTCTGCTTGACAGGCCCCGGGCATGGTCTGACCCACCTGGGCATTTCTTCACAGAGCTGGTCCACATGGCTTCTCCTCATGGCCTCTGAGGGGAAGCTGGGCTCAAAGAGCACCAACCCCGGCGCTGTCCCCGGCGCTGTCCCCACCGCAGGCCCCCGGCCCCCAGGGAACCGGCTCCAGGCCCCTCCCTCCCTCCAGCTCCGCCCCTGCCCCTTCCAGCTGGAGCCAGGCCGGTCCAGTTCTCTCTCCAGGCTGCTGCTGGCGCTGTGTGGGCCAGCCAGGGCTCCAGGTTTGGGCCTCCCCCACTGCTGCCCATGCGGCTGCTCGACAGTCGGCTTCCGTGGCCCGGAATGACTCACGAGTGTCCGCACGTGGCCTCACCTGTGCTGGGGGGCTGGTGCGCGCCCCCTCGGTGGCGGCGGCAGCTGCGCCCTCCCCAGGGCCCGGGCGCCGTGGCTCCCAGCTGCTGAGGGCTGGGCAGCCTGGGAATCGGAAAGCTGACTCAGGGTCAGGGGCCGGGGGTCGGCCCTGCCCGGGGCTCCTCAGGAGTTCGCAGTCCCCGTGCTCTGGTCTGGCCAGCCAGTGGCCGGAGGCTACATGGCTGTTACCCCGCTCCCCCCGCCTGGCCCTCTGCCAGGCCCCAGGGCGCAAGGGAGGGAGGCCCGGAGGCGAGGCGCCCCCGCCCTGCTGGCCGGGGGGGGGGCTTCCTGTCTGCATGGGGGGCACCTGCTCCCCAGTACGCTGACCCCATTGACCCTGGCCTCCTCCCCATAGGAGCGGTGTCTGGTGCCCGTCCGCAGGGCCTCGGCTGTTGGGTGGACGCTGGGGCCCCAACCTCAGAGAGGAAGGCGTAGACAGACTGACGCAGGCAGACTGAGCAGACAGACTGATGAAGGCAGACTAGGGACAGACTGTGGAGCGGGCGCCATCTTTCCTGCCACTCTCAGGCTAGCTCCAACCAATGGGCGGTTAAGCGGGACCAGGAAGGGGGGGCAGGGGCAAAGGGGGAGGAGTGCAGGGTCACAGGCTACCACACTGGGGACACCACGGCCACCACGCACCCATGTCCAGTGTGAGCGCAACCCTGGGAGGCACCCAGCGGCCGGAGCCCTGGCCCTGCGCCAAGGGAGGCCAGAGCCCTGGCCCCGCCCCGTGGGAGGGAGCGGGCCCCCTGCGACGCCCCATTGGCCTCGGCTCAGCCCGGGGAGTCCTGCGGCTGGGGCAGCCTCCGGCCGCCAGCGGGGCGAGTGCCCCTGGGTCACCACCGCTGGTCACCGCTGACTCCGACTCACGTGGGCTGATCTCCCGCGCCCTGGACAGTCAGAGCGCTGCCCGGGCCTCCCGCAGCTCACGGGTCTCTGCCACAGGCACAGGCCGGTCCAGGCCTCCAGCCTCTGAAGCGCTTCTCCAGAGTTCGTCTGGAAGGGCTGGCATCAGGGCTCCAGCCTGAGGACGGGGGACCTGGCCGGCCCCTGGCTCTGGCGCCCCTTCCCCCTCGGCCTCCACGTTCCCAGCGGTGCGAGCCGCCCAGCGACCAAGGCTGAGCCTCTGGCGGTCCCAGGGCGGTCTGCGCCAGCGGTGTGAGTGTGTGGGGAATGGGGGGTAAGGTGGGGCGTGGGGGAGGCCTTGCCCAGAGAAAGCTCTGCGGCGCTCTTCAGGGATGGCCATCTCCGCCCCTCACCCGAGGTGGAGCGGGGGCTCTGGGCAGCGGGGGACCTGTGGGACCCCACTTCTTTTTTTTTTTTTTTT